CTTTCTGCTGTTCAACATGATGACTGGTAGATAATTAGTTATTAGCGGTACTGCATTTTAATTTTAGAAAGCACAAATCTGCTTATGATTTATAAAAATTAGTAAGACAGCTAAAGCGCAAACTAAATATTTAGGTCCGCAATAAGCGGATTTGTGCTTTAGTGGACTGGAGCCCACCACTGCATTTAAGCAAATGTTTTATCCATTAAATCAATTCAGCGTTATGCTAATGGTTCATTGGGAAACCCGTATTTGTTTCCTACAGAGTAACGGGGACTTGAAGCGAAAGTGGACGTGGGCTGTGGAGTGGTTGGGGGATGAGCTGGAGAGGAGGCCGTACACAGGAAATCCACAGTACACCTACAACAACTGGTCCCCCCCTGTGCAGAGCAACGAGACCTCCAACGGATACTTCCTGGAGCGCTCTCACAGCGCTCGCATGACGCTGGCCAAGGCCTGCGAACTCTGTCCTGAAGAGGTAACAGCATTTACAGCGCACCAGTTGTGACACATGTTGTAAAGAGTTAACAGAAAACAATATCATCACAACACAACAACACACTCAATGTCTTCTTTCAGCTGGCTGTTTCCTGTAGCATTTTGCTGACCTTTGACTTAAAATGCAAAAAAAATGTAATTTCAAGACTTTAGTTTACACTATTTAATCATTTGTTAGGCTGAATATGATTTGTATTTTATGGCTAAAATGAACAATACACAACTGTACTTGTGTTGATCTCACTTCAGATGAATAATTTGTATTTTTCTTGATGAAAAAATCCAGTCAAGTGACGCACTTTTCCTGTAATATTCCATACACAGCTCAAGTGTACTCAGGGAAGCCCAGGGAAGGTCAGTATTCCAGGCACCACAACATGAAGGAAGGAAATTTAACTCAGCAGAGAAACATTAAGCCAGTAGCTCAGTGTTTAGATTATGTATCTGTCGGGTGTAATTAGAGTATTTTAGCTGCCTGCCTAAAATTATTCTGTTCTCCCTTAAGGCCGACACATTGAGAGCATATATGCTTTTATTATTATAGAAGGTAGAGTCTCACTCAAATACATTATTTTTTATGTACATATCAGAAAACAAATATACCAGCAAGACTTCATGTGGCTGTTTGCATATTAAGTAATGAAATTAAAGAGTTAAAACATGATTATAGATACACATTAATGATATCTATTACTGTGTAGATATAAACTTGTCATGTGATCAACAGTTTGTAAATAAGGCCGATAGCCCAGAAGTTTTAGGATGAAAATGAATARACATCCAGTAACAAAGTGCTTGTGGTGTTTTTCAGTCTGTTAAAAGGTGTACTGTTCACCCACAAACAGTCTAATCTTATTTAAACTTGTTAGGTGAGAACAGTTAGGACATGCAGCCTACTGCTTCATGCTTCAGTGCTGAAGTGTAGCATTACACCCAGTGTTTTAATCAAATCATCATATTTTTATAATAAATAAAATGTCTGCGACCCATTTTCACCTGCAGTAATTTTCCTCTGTTATATTGCAGGAGCCCGATGAACAGGAAGCACCTGATGATCAGGATTCCTCCCCACCTGAGGACACCTCTCTGTACCCCCATTCTCCTGGAACCACCCAGTTTCAGCAGGTAGTGTCTGAGTCCAGAGCCTCACCAAGGATGTTCTGCTGGGACTGTCGTTTAGATCAGTGCCTGTAACAATAAAAATATAACTTTTCTTTTTTTTTATGCATTGTTTTCTGCTTGAACACTCGTAAAAACAGAGACTCAAGGTTTCCAGCCTGTTATGTAACAAAAAAAACAACCTAAACACAATGTTTATAGAAGTTGAAAACATTGGTGATAATGTAACTTGTTTGACCTGTGGAGATGTATCACTAGCTGTGTTTCCATTGACCATGAAAATGCGCAAATTAGAATTTCGAAAATAAATTTGCTCAATGGAAACACATGAATTTCGGGAAAAAATTACGTTTTTCAACAATGATTGTGCGCTAGGATGAGGTGGTTTTTCAGCCGCATCGAAATTGGTGTTTTGCGCAAAACTGCAATGGAAACACTTTTTTCACGTCACAGGAGTCACGTGATCAACAACTGGTTGTTTCTACTGGCGAAAAAGACGACGACGACGAAGAAGATACAGGAAGTAGAAGTAGTGGTAATATCGTAGCCGCTCCCAAGTAGGGACTTGTCTCTGGAAAGCCTCGATAAAAGACGCCGACGTCTCCTCTGATGATGAGCGCTAGTGTCGCGGTAGCAACATGCTATGTGTTTACATCCATCGCCGCCATGTTTGTAATGACTTATCGCGAGAACAAGCGTATTCACGAGTGACTTTAATAGCATTTCTTACTTAATGGAAACACTGCAGTTGCAGAACTGTGTTTTTCGACATTAACAGAATATCGACAAAGTTTTGTGCACGTTTGTAATGGAAACACAGCTACTAATACACAGAAATAGATGTAAAAGTCTTTATTCCCGAGGAAAACATTCTTAGATTGGAGCATGTTTGTTCGTCCAGCTGTTTAGTGCATTGTTGATTGAAGTTATTTGTTGGTCATCTTTATCTTTCAAAGAAAGAAAATGACCTTTATTGAGATCTTTAAATGATTTAACYTTATAAAAACACTAACACATCTTGTTTTTTCCCTCCCCCAGCAGAATAACCACCCTCATGGGCAGCCATACACTGGGCCTGCTGCCCAGCACATGAACAACCCCCAGCGTCCCGGTCCTGCTTCTGCTCCAACTCCAGGCCCGACCCAGACCCAGACCCCGACCCCAGGCCCCAGTACCACTCCTGGCTCAGGCCCACGAGCACAAGAAAACTGGGAAGGCACTGAGGAGGTTGCCCCTGCCCCGAGCTCAACCCCAGCCCCCACCCCGCCTAAGGAATAACCTCTCCTCCTGTCTGCTGTGCCTCGAGCCTCCATCGTCCTGCTCTCCTCTCATCCTTCAGCAAACTGAGCTCCTGGTCGGGCCTCTCCCTCCCCCCTCCCTCTCTGGCCCCAGGGCAGAGCCAGGCCTCCCGTCATCCCCTTCCTCTACAGGCCACCTCTCTCCCCCCAGTGGGCCCGTGGGATGTGCTCTCTCCTGGCCTGGAGCTGCCTGAGCGTGGGGTGGGGGGGTGGGCTGCTGGTGACTACAGAGGTGAGGGAATGGACAAGAGAAACAAAAAGACTCTGAGCTGACGATGCTGATACGCTTATCTAAACAATGAAAAGGTGTACATAGTATGTTATTGTTTCTGACTGTTCCAGTCCTCCAGTAGCATAACTCTGTGTGGTCTGCTGTTGGGACATGTTTCAGATGTAATGAAAAACAAGATGGATATTATAAATAAAGTTTCCCCCTCACACAAAAGAAGAAAAAAAAACTGTTAGAAGATGACAACTCTTTGTTTTCTCGCCCATGCTGAGCAGTAAAGTTTCTGTCATCAGACAGGATCTGGTCATTCAACTGTAGAAGGACACGTTGTTATAATTATATAATTATTCTTAAGCTCCTTATATGACCCATGCCAAATCGAGTCAGAGCTGAGGTTCGTTTTYGAGTGAGACTTTGAATGGTTGGCTGGACTTTCATGGTGTTCGGTTGGTGTGAAAAAAGCAGTGAAACAACATTGTTCTAAAACTCGTTGCCTTTCTTTTTTCTTTCTTTTCTCTTTGGTTCTGGTTAATAATCCAATCCTTTTCTGAAGCTGTAGTTAATATGCTGTAACATTTAGCATGGCTTCTCACCACAATAGTGTAGCCCGAGGGGACGACTTAAGATCATAACAACCTGAAGCTTTTCTTAACCCACATCTCTAGAGGGGTGTTGGTACTATTTAGGGTTTTTTMMTTTMMTTTMMTTMMWWTTMRMCTRTTTTTRTKRWCWRKTKRKCKSWSTKRAKAWYWGYGMGTMTTTTTTTTTTTAAACCAATGTATAAGTGGCTTTTCAATTGCACATTATAATCCTCCAACTTCACATTTGGCTGTCAGTTTTGGCAGATTAGACAGCAAAGTTTTCATTTTTAGGAATTCAGAAAAAACAATATGCAACAGGATTGCTGCACTGGTCTGTCTGGTGTATTATAGATGGTGGTTTGCTTCTGTCTCTTTAATAGAGCGTAGTAATAGACGGACTTGTTGCCCATCGGCTTCCTCTCTGTCGTGGAGCCGGTCAGTTTGGCGTCTGGCTGCAGATTGGGATGATCCTCCCCTCGCTCCACACACAGCAGGTCCTGCAGCAGGGTCTGACCGTAACAATAGTCTGGTTAGTCATGTTGCAACTTGAGCTAACTTGTAATTCTGTAGGAGTAAAAAGGTAAAACATCAGTAAATACTGTATTTAATTGGTCACTTGAATGCGTGTATTTTCTTTCTTTTTTTTTTGTCAAAAACATACCAAATACTCCTGCAAATGAAAATGTTCTGCCCACCGTATTATATTTAAATATTTTGCTTTTATTTTATAGAATTTATTTTGTTGTATTTCACTAAAAAAAAAAACAGAATTTGATTTAAGAGGAACATTTTTTGTCCTTGTGTTATTTTTAAAGAAGATATTGACTGTACAGAGTTCTGCGCCCTGTTTTTTGCCGACTTTTGTTTTGGCCATGGTGTGACATTGAATTCTGGAGCTACAGTCGAAATGTGGACTTTCACTTTGTGAGGTTTTTTTGTGCACAAAATATAACAAAAAAAAAAAGAAGAAAAAAAAAAGCATTGCGCCCTTAGCAAATAAAGAACATGGAATCTTGCCCGTGTCTCATTTTTAGTTTTGAACGTTTTCATGTTTAATGTCACCAAATTCACTTCTGTAATTTAATGTTTAAAATGTTTCTTTTGCTCTTAAAAATGATCAGTTTTGGCTTTTAGTGTTTTTTTTATTATTTTTTACATTTTGACCACAACATGACAAGCATCTGTGAAAACAATACTACAGTAGTTGTTCCTGTCAGTTTCAGTGAAGTGAAACAGGAACTGCATCAATAATTCAGCACAGCTGTTCTTAGTGTCACCAGATCCTCAGGTTTCTGTGCTTTGACAAGTGAAAATGTTTGCAAAGATCCTGAGTCAAAGTAGATCAAGCACCTCATTTGGTTTGAGCTCCTTCTAGTGGTCAATGTTGGAACTGTTTCCTGTCCAGTCCAGAAGAACCCAGACATCATGTACTGGGACGCCCTGCCTTAGATATCTGTAGATTTATGACGTAGATTACGTATCACGTACTTCTATGATCTATGGAGTAATTTTTTTAAAATCCTTTACTTCAAATTTGACATATGTACAAAATATAATAGAAAATAAAGAAAATGTTACAAAAATACATAAGCAACAAATATGTAACACGAATATAA